TATTTATTTTTCCCCCAAAGCCCCAGTACATAGTTGTCTGTCATAGCTGCACATCCTTCTAGTTGCTGTATGTGGGACGCAGCCTCAGCATGGCTGGAGGAGTGGTGCCTCGGTGCGCACCTGGGATCTGAACCCGGGCCGCCGGCAGCAGAGCGCACGCACTTAACCGCTAAGCCACGGGGCCGGCCCAGAGATAGAAGTAGTTTTATCTAGAATAAGTTTTGTAGGTAAAATCAATAGGACTTTTCTGACAGATTGGATGTGGGAATTGTAGAAAAGGTAGGAATCAAGGATGATGTCTAGGTTTTTGGCCTAAATTACTGGCGAAAGTTGGGGGTGGGGGCAGGTTTGGTGAGGAAAAAGAGTTCTTTTCTCCTCTAGTTTCCCTGCCCTCTAATTCAAAGGCCAGGAAATTCTACAGTGAGGTAGGACCATTGGCTCCAGCATTTCTTAATTTCCATCCCCAGATTCAAGAGCTTAAACCCTCAGGGACCTGGCAGGCCTGCTTCTCCAAGTAGAGGTGGGGTGACATACAGTGAAAAAAATTTGGCCTTCCATATACCTGTATTTGAATCCCATCTCTGCCACTTTTTACTTCTATGACCTTGGGCAAATTACTTTACTTGGCCAAGCTGCATTTTCCTCATCGTTAGGTTGAACATGAAAACCTCCCCCCAGGATTGTTGTGAGCATTAACCGACCGAGCATTTACAAGGTGCCATGCATTGTTCTAAGTGTATTATGGATATTAACTAGTGTAATCCTTATAGCAAATGGATGAGGTCGGTACTGTTTGCACTCTTACAGATAAGGGAACTGAAGTATAGAAAGTTACTAAGTAGCTTGCCCATGGTCATAAGCTAGTAAACGGAGGAGCTGGATTTGAACCCTCGCAGTCTGGCTCCAGAATCTTGAGCCTGGGTTTTTAGGTACTAAGCACTTCTACCTTTCATGTGTGAAAAGTATCTGGTCCATCCTGGGCTCTCAAGTGTTTATTCTGACACCACCTCCTCTGTCCTGTCTTCCCCCCTTACCCCGAGAATTTAGACATCCAGATGCTGAGCCTTGCCTCACAATCTAGGGCCTGGGTCTTGTGTTCTCCCACTTGGCTCCTTGCCTGCTCTTCCATTCCTCTTTAGAACCCTCATGGCAATAGGCAGGACTCCTGTGCTGTCTTACCTGACCTCTGGCACTGCCTCCTTAGGTGGACATCTTCAATAAGGAGCTACTGCTAATCCCCATCCACCTGGAGGTGCATTGGTCCCTCATCTCTGTTGACGTGAGGCGGCGCACCATCACCTATTTTGACTCGCAGCGCACCCTAAACCGCCGCTGCCCTAAGGTTTGAGAGGGAAGGGGAAAGACAGGCAGAATGTGGGGAGGAGATCCAGTGGCAAGGCATTCCAGGCAGAAGGAGGGTGGGTTTTGGGTCTCTGAGGAGCAACCTGGTCATAGTGCCTGTGAGCCCCACACCCTGGGTTCATCGGGGAAACGTAGGGCATCACTTCCTCCTTTTCTCCACCCACATAGCATATTGCCAAGTATCTACAGGCAGAGGCAGTGAAGAAAGACCGGCTAGATTTCCACCAGGGCTGGAAAGGTTACTTCAAAATGGTGAGTTTCCAGAGGGAGGGGTGGGGGTGCTGGGAGGCAGAAGTTGAAGCCACATCCCTAGGAGTCTCCAGGTGAAGGGCCTACCTTTTTATTCTCTAGAATGTGGCCAGGCAGAATAATGACAGTGACTGTGGTGCCTTTGTGTTGCAGGTAAGCAGATGTCACTTGGGTTAAAGGGTTGGGAGGGAGACAGGAGGCTGTTCTGCATCCCTCATTTGGTTCACAGCCACTTGTGGAGTGGGAGTAACATTGTGTTAGAACGGAGAAACTCTGATTTCATTGGTCCTCTCTTGGCTTCTCCATCCCACATTGGGTCTGGGTCTTTGGTCCTTGGTCTCCCTGACCCCCCAACCCAAGGTATCCCTCTTAACAACTAGGTATTTCATGAACCTAGTAAGAACACTGGCTTTAGAGTCAGACTCTTTTGGAGCCCCAGGCTATGGGACCTTGGCTTCCTTTGTTTGTGAAATAGGGATGTTCTCTGAAAGATCCAGTGCAACATATCTCATATCAAATGTGTAGCACAGGTCCTGACTTGGGGGTTGCTCAGTAGGTGGTTCTCATGGCCTGCTTTGTTAACACCCAGTACTGCAAGCACCTGGCCCTGTCTCAGCCATTCAGCTTCACCCAGCAGGACATGCCCAAACTTCGGCGACAGATCTACAAGGAGCTGTGTCACTGCAAACTCACTGTGTGAGCCTCGTATCCCAGGCCTCAAGCCCATTAATGAATGGGCAGGGGCACATGGGAGACCCTTCCTTCTCAAGAAACTCCAGTTCCTTTCCTCTTGGCCTTTCCCCACCCAATTCCCTTTGGTTTTTCATATTTAAATGTTTTAATTGATTTCTGTAATTTTTTTTTCCTTGAGAGAATACTTGTTGATTTCTGATGTTCAGGGGGTGGCCATGGAAAAGCCCCTTTTTCCCTCAAGTGTGCAGGGGAGTATGGCCTTGTGGCCTGGGTGGGGCAGTCATCCTCCTTCCATGTGCAGAGGGGGACAGGAAAATCTGTGCTGGGGGTGGTGGGCGGGCAAAGGGATTACTGCCTGCCAGATCTTGAAACTTTTTTTTATATATATATATATAAATGCCACGGCCCTGCTCTGGTCAATAAAGGATCCTTTGGAGATACATAGTGGTGGTCTTCCTTAAGGGGCCTCATACTAGTGGATAATGCTCTATCTCAGGCTTTCCTCTAGCCAGTGCTGTTAGCGACCCTTTTTTTGGGTCTCAAGACTTCAGGGGCCAGCTTTTCATCCCTGGCTCAGACGGTGCCAACATCATTTCTTCATCACCCAAAAGAATCCCCCAGTCATGGGAGCCAGGGCTGGAAGAAGGGAGAGTTTTGGTAAGCCTCAAAAATAAGGGAGCTTGAGAGGTGCTAAAGTTGGGGAATAGGACACTTAAGGAATTCGGCCAAGATTCCTAATAGAAACCTCAAATGCCCTTAAGCCCAGAAGTCAGTTATCCATCCCTCCTCCCTCCAGCCAGGGACACTTTCCCAGCCGCCAAGATATGGCTCCTGATTCCATCATCCTTGGTACACTTGGAACACGTCGGCGTGGTGTCCGATTTATCTTGGTTGTAGGAGAGAACAAAATAAAATGTGGGCCCAGTGGAGGCCTGGAGCAAAGGTAAAGGGAAGTGGTAGTCCTGGGAGCCCGGAAGTCCCTGGAGGCTGAAACCTCGCCCCTCTTACGCGATAGGGCCTACTAGGCCACATGACTAAGGCCCTGTCGCCTCCGCACGTGTAGGGGTGCAGGGCCCCAAGATGGCTGCCAGGCCTCGAGGCCTTGACTCCTGTATGTCACTTCCGTACCGGCGAGAAGGGCGGGCCCTTTAGCCAATGAGGCCGCGGGGCGGGTCTTCATCTTGATAGGCGTTCAAACTATCCAATGGTGGCTGCGTGCCAGAGCGCCTACGAACTAACGTCACGCAGAGTTGCTGAGCGAGGGCAGGCGGGGCCGACGCGGCCAGGCCAATGCGACGGCTGGGGCGGAGTCGGGCGCTCTATAAGTTGTCGATAGGCGGGCCCTCCGCCCTAGTTTCTAAGGATCATGTCTGCGAGTCAGGATTCCCGGTAAGAAAGGCACTTGCAAGAGGTTGTGGCTACTTACCCTGCCGCTCCCTTCCGAGGGCCCCGCCGGGGGGAGCTGAGGCCCACCAATCTAGGGCCACCAGGGTTGCGGGGAGACCAAGTGGGAGGACCCGTCTTGGGGGAGTGAGGGGCAGATCCACGGTCGCCGCTGCCACCAGGGCCTGGGCAGGGGGCAAGGACAGCCCGGCTTTCGGGGCCCAGCGTGCGAGGATCGCTAGGAAGCCTCGACGCGACGCGCTGCGGTGCGCGGAGCCCCGGCGCTGAGGGGCGAGACGCGGTCGCGACCTAGCGTGGGAAAGGTAGAGCCGGCAGGTCCGGCTGCCTCACTGCCGGAGGGAGGGCTCGCGCGCGCTTGGGTACCGGAGGATTCTGACAGTATCACTCGCTAAAAGCGGGGGTGCCTGGGTCCTCAAATCCAGTCGCCTCGTCGCGTTGAGGTGTGGGTCGGGAGAAGAAACCGGCCGTTCAGTGTGCTGGTTTTCTTGACGGCCAGGACTGAGCCTAACCCCGAGGAGCGGCCGCGTGAGGCACCAGGAGCCCACCCGGCGCCCGGCGGGCGGGTCCATTTTGCCGCACAAGCCGGGCAATTGGCAAACTGCGGATGGGCAGGTCCACTTTCCTTCGGGGGTGAGCGGCCTGAGGTATGGGAGGGCGACGCCATTTCGCGACGGGGGCGGGCGGGATGTTGATGGTTCCTTGGAGGGAGGAGATGCCGCCGGGTGGTCGAGGGAGCGAGCACATGGCGGCCCGAGGTGTTCCCCTCCCCCAGTCCGCTTCGCTTCTAAGGGTTGTGCAATCTCCCCTTTTGCTAGCTCGGCTGGGTCTCATTGTGCGCGAGGCCGCCACCGCCCGCGGCCTCCCACATCCGGGCACCGCGAAGGGGGAGATGGGCTGGAGGGAGTGGGGGAGGGCGCGGGAGGAGTGACGTGGGGGAGAAGGGGATGTCCTACCCTCGGATCTGGGAGGTGAAGGGCGGGACTTCCGGCGCGCTGGGGCTGCGATGGGAGGTGCACGCGCCTGGGCATGGGGTGGCCAGGCCCGGGACACGTGGGACCGGCCCCAGGCACCATCTCCGGACCCCGTAAGCGCGGCGCCGCTCCTGCCGGGCTCCGGGTCGTCTAGGAGGGTTACCCCATCATGTCCCGGGCGGCCTGACCTGAGCCGCTCCTGGGATGGGGCAAAGGACTGACTCAGTTGTAAGGTAACTACTACGTCTTCTGGGAATTGATGGGGGTGGGTCAGGGATTGAAGGCCGATGGTATCATGCAAGGCCGGTTGCTGGTAGGAAGAGCCTGGCTGTCAGGATTTTTAACGTGCCTCATTCGGCATACTCAATACTTTAAACCAACAGATCCAGAGACAATGGCCCCGATGGGATGGAGCCCGAAGGCGTCATCGAGGTGAGATTGAACCCCTATCAGTATTGTCCTTCATCTCTGGGAAAGGCAGTGCCACTAGCCTTGGTTTCTGGAGTGGTGGTTCAGTGATTTAAGATTTGACTAAAACCAGCACCCAGGATTCATCTTTAATACATAGCCTAACTCCCAAATGGTTAAGTTTCCTCCACAGGAAATCTTAACTCTTTTATAAGGCTTTGTTAAAAATATATTCTTGAGAGTATGTATAGAACATGTCCTTCATATTGAGTCCAGTCCTCCCTTCTACAGCCTCCAGTCTCACACAGTTTACAAGTGGGCTGGCCCCTTAGAGTGATTTCTCAGACCTTGTAGAACCAGCTGGCTTCCCTGGAGGGAGGAAAGGTGGTGGGCTCTGAAGCTTTAGTGCTGCAGGCACAAGGTCCTGTTTGCTCCAGTGCTAGAGCACACCCCCCGCCTGTTCTACTACATTAATTTCTTTGTATCTTTCAGAGTAACTGGAATGAGATTGTTGACAGCTTTGATGACATGAACCTCTCGGAGTCCCTTCTCCGTGGCATCTACGCCTATGGTTTTGAGAAGCCCTCTGCCATCCAGCAGCGAGCCATTCTTCCTTGTATCAAGGGTAAGACTCCTCTGCCCCAGAACAAGTTTTGGACTGTCCCTGACCTGGGTAGAGAGGCACCTGGTTGGTGGTGCGTATCTCATATCAGGGAGGGACAAAGCAGCTCCTTGTTCATCCCAGCTTGGCTTTTGGTCTGTGCCCATGCCTGGTTCATGCCCTGGACACATGGATTGTTGGTTGATTTTCAGTAAAGTAGTATTTCAGCTACCTCACACTTGCTTTTTATAGCTGTATTTCTAGCCCATTTTGTGCAGTACTAAATCAGTTAATAACCTGACCTGGCTTCCAGATCTCTTCCCATTTGGGCACTTTGTGATAAGGTGGTCTGTGAAGCACTTCACCTCTGGCACATAGCTCTATTGATTGCTTATTGATTGGGGTCTTGAATATTTCATGATCCCAAACTGTATGTCCTCTACATACACTTTCCCTCCTAATTTGTCTGTTTAGGTTATGATGTGATCGCTCAAGCCCAATCTGGGACAGGCAAAACAGCCACTTTTGCCATATCGATTCTGCAACAGATTGAATTGGATCTAAAGGCCACTCAGGCCTTAGTCCTGGCACCGACTAGAGAGTTGGCCCAGCAGGTGAGAGTGTAGCTTCTTTCTTCTCCCCTGAAGGATCAATTTAGAAATGATTGGCATAATCAGAAAATTAGAGGTGTGCTCCTCAACCATCACCATCTTGGAAGAACTGAAATATGGGGTAGGTGGGGTGGGGAAAAAGAGATGATCTAAAGTAAAGAAAATGAGTTGATGACTTCTAGATCTCTCAAGACTTTTTAGGTTAATTATAAGCTCGTTCCTACTAAACACAATAAGCATCACTCCCTCCACCCATTTCCTGAGTCAAATGGGAAGGCTGCTGGGTGGAGCCTGGCTGGCTGGGCAAGTTTGGTGGCTGTTGTATGAACAAACCCCCTGGCAATGGGCAAAGAGACACCTGATTGGTGGTGCTGCTCTTATATCAGTCAGGGGCAAAGTAGTTGTACAGTCCTTTGTTCATCCTAGCTTGATGCCTGGGTTGGTGGCCAGAGCTGTTTCATGCCTGGGGCACATAAAATCCTAATGCTGCTGTTTTCCTGGGTCTTGGAGGGAAACAGATCAGAAACACTGGTCTCATAAGTAGATTATTGAGACTCAGGGGATGTATTTTTTGAAATGTTCTGTACTAATTTCTGGACAAAGATAATGTAAGCAAATGGTTTTAGTAGAACTCTCTTTGAGGATCCTTATGTTCAGAACATGCCTTTAAAAGAGTGAATATGCCACCTAGCATAGGTTCTGTGGCAGGAGTGCAGTAGGACACAGGTATGTCACTATACATAAAACTGGTTGCTTGCTGTGAAATAAAATAAACGGGTCACAATTCGTTTTCAGCAACTTAGGAGGTGTAATAGGAAAGAAGCTACATTGAAGTTATTTCAGAGGGCTGTTACTATGAATCTGTGCACTCAGGAGCCAGATTGGGTTCAAATCCTGAGTCTCTGCCACTTATTGGCAGTCGTATCTTAAATGGATTGTTTAACCTGCCTCTGTTTTTTGCCTAAAAAGTGAGTTTATTAATGGCGCATGTCTCAGTTGGAAAGAATAAATACATGAGAAACATTTAAAATAGGGCTTGGCACAGTTGTAGCTAATATATGAGCACTTATCTTTTTCTGGGTTCAGATACAAAAGGTAGTTATGGCATTAGGAGATTACATGGGTGCGTCCTGCCATGCCTGCATTGGAGGTACCAACGTGCGTGCTGAGGTGCAGAAGCTGCAGATGGAAGCTCCCCATATCATCGTGGGTACCCCAGGACGTGTGTTTGATATGCTTAACCGGAGATACCTGTGTAAGTACCTCAATTTTCTGGTCCTCTGGGCCATTTCCCTCTTGTGCATGCTTTCCCAGTCTTTCAACTTGGCCACAATCTCATTCCTAATGATGCTAGTTTTCCCCTCTGAAAGAGTTGCTCTGTGATGAACCCCATGCGTGTCATCTGAGCCTGGCTTCCCTGTCATCTCAGCCCAGGTAGTGTTCTACTTCCCAGGGTTGTTGTCTGGCCTGGCAGGGGCGTCCTGGGCAAAGGATCAATCTTTGTATTCTGAGAGCAGACCACCTGTCTCTCCCCTTATCTTTGTAGGGAAAGTTAAGTGTATTTCACATTTCCCCAATTACTACCTGTTGATGTTTTTTTCTTTCCTGTAGCTCCCAAATACATCAAGATGTTTGTACTGGACGAAGCTGATGAAATGTTAAGCCGTGGATTCAAGGACCAGATCTACGACATATTCCAAAAGCTCAACAGCAACACCCAGGTGAGAAAGAGAAAGATACGTATAGTCTTGCTTGTATAGCTGATGATCGCTTATAGATAGTGGTGTGGTTGAGGTAATAGAAGAGCAATATGAGTGTCAGAAGAACCGTGAAGAATTCTGGAGTCTTGCCTCAAGCCTTTTTATGCATTGGTTTCTGTTTTAGGTGGTACTAGGGAAGGGGACAGGCATTGTGGAGTATCCCCTAGTCTGAGGCTGCTCTCTTTCCATTAGGTGGTTTTGCTGTCGGCAACAATGCCTTCTGATGTGCTTGAGGTGACCAAGAAGTTCATGCGGGACCCCATTCGGATTCTTGTTAAGAAGGAAGAGTTGACCCTGGAGGGTATCCGCCAATTCTACATCAATGTGGAACGAGAGGTGGGGCCTAGTGCAGGAGGCGGGCCTGGTAATAAGTTGTTGGGTATAGCCCCTGACTGATTTTTTTTTTTTCCTCCCCCACCCCCAGGAGTGGAAGCTGGACACGCTGTGTGACTTGTATGAAACCCTGACCATCACCCAGGCAGTCATCTTCATCAACACCCGAAGGAAGGTCGATTGGCTCACTGAGAAGATGCATGCCCGAGACTTCACTGTCTCTGCCATGGTGAGTTTTCCCCAGCTGGTTACCAGCAGTATGTGTGTGTCAGTTTCCCACTTACAGCCAGTTCTCTCAGAACTGAAGTGCCTGCCTGTTCACACCCTTCTATTTCCTGTTCTAGCATGGAGATATGGACCAAAAGGAACGAGATGTAATCATGAGAGAGTTCCGCTCAGGCTCTAGCAGAGTATTAATTACCACTGACCTGCTGGTGAGTAGAGGGGAATTTGGAGATGATTGGGAGGGAAGAAAGGAGAATCCAAGGTGATTCCCTCTTCCAAGGGGCCTACTAATGCCCTTTTTCAGGAAAGTAGCAACTTGGAATAAAATCTGGCATGCCTCAGGTTTTTCAGGGAGAGGAGGGGATGTTTATTTCCTTTGCCTTCCTTTGGCTGCCTACATGTACACTTGTAAGTCCCTTCTGGATAGATTGTCCTCTTCTCATTCACATGCTGAAGTTGTCATCTTTCTTCACATAGGCCAGAGGCATTGATGTGCAGCAGGTTTCTTTAGTCATCAACTATGATCTTCCCACCAACAGGGAAAACTATATCCACAGGTAAGTGTAGATCTGGGATACTCACCCCTCGTGCCCAATCCTCCCTGGGCTGAAGCTCCTGATTTTCATCATTCCCCTTATCCTCACTTATCCTAAGGTGTCCTTGTTTTCCAGAATTGGTCGTGGTGGACGTTTTGGCCGTAAGGGTGTGGCTATTAACATGGTAACAGAAGAAGACAAGAGGACTCTTCGAGACATCGAGACCTTCTACAACACCTCCATTGAGGAGATGCCCCTCAATGTTGCCGACCTCATCTGAGAGGGGCTGTGCTGCTACCTAGCCCCAGCCAGGGTTCAATCCTTGGGGGGCTGAGGAGGAGCAGAAGGGGGGAGGGAAGGGAGCCAGGGGATGGACATCTTGTCATTTTTTTTTTTCTTTTTTTTTTTTTTTTCTTTGAATAAATGTCACTTTTTGAGGCAAAAGAAGGAACCGTGAACATTTTAGATACCCTTTTCTTTGGGGTAGGCTCTTGCCCCAGGCGTCGTCTCTTCTCCCAAAAAACACTAATCCATTTCCCTAACCTAGTCAACCTCCAAATCCCAGAGGCTCTCCCCACCCCAGCTGAATTCCTCTGAAAACAATTCAAGGGGCTATAATGTCACTCAACCTCATTTGCTGGACCAAATCTGGAGGGAGAACCCCTGAGTTAGGTGGCCCAGGGGATTGTCCCAGGTTGGGGGAGCAGGGGAGAGAAAATGGTAGCCATTTTTACATTGTTTTGTATAGTATTTATTGATTCAGGAAACAAACACAAAATTCTGAATAAAATAACTTGGAAACTGCCTGTTTGGGCTTTTCATTTCTTACCTCCCCTTCCCTCCCACCTGCTATTGGGCACATCTCTGCTCCCCTCCTTCAGCTAATATTTACCCTTTTGTTGTGTTGCTTTTTTTGTTACCACCTAAGAGTTGACCAGAAAGTGGTCATGTTGACTGGACAACGTGACCCTTCCATAAGAGATTGGGCAAGCACCATGAGTGCATCACGTGTCTCAGCCAAGAGGAAGTGATGGGGAGGGGGGAAAGTGGAAAAAGCATTCCAATTGTACATAGTTATTTTCGGTGAGGAAGATTAGCTCTGAGCTAACATCTGTTGCCAATCCTCTTTTTGCTGAGGAAGATGGGCCCTGGGCTGACATCCGTGCCCATCTTCCTCTACTTGATATGTGGGACGCCTGCCACAGCATGGCTTGATAAGCAGTGTGTAGGTCTGTGCCCGGGATGTGAACTCGGGGCTGCCAAAGTGAAGCGCGTGAACTTAACCACTACGCCACTGGGCTCGCCCCTAATTGTACATTCTATGGAACTCATCTCTCTAGAGACCGCTGAAGGAGGGAGGGGTTGCTGTTTCTCAATTGGTTCTATAATTACTTGCCACAAATGTGAGCACATTTTGCTAAAGTAGACAAACGGGTCCCCAAGGGTCAACTGTCCTGAAACCCCATCTCATTCTACCCATGTGACATTCTTGACCCTGATAGCACACACTTGTGAAGCCAGGGCCAATAGTCTCCTAACTTAATGACAAAAATTTAATGACTAAGAGATTGGTGGCTGGGGCTGAGGTGCCTGAGTCAGGTGGGGGTGGAGTTATCTCAGAAGTCAAAGACTTTCATTTCCTCCTTTTCCAAAAGAAGAAGAAGGTTGAGCAAGTGGCTGGTACTGACACAAACCTAGCTGCACTCTGGGTGAGGCTGTTCTGTCATGAGGCTGGCTGTGCTTTTCTCAGGAGCTTTGCTGGGCCTACTAGCAGGTAAGGAGAAAGGGGACTAAAGGGGAGGGAGCCCCTGGGAAGGAGCTTGCTCCTGGGTTGCTAACCAGTCTTTCCTCTGCTGAAAGCCCAGGGGACGGGGAATGACTGTCCTCATAAGAAATCGGCCACTCTGCTGCCATCCTTCACGGTAACACCTACAGCTACAGAAAGCACCTCAAGCCCAGGAACAACGAACCACCAAACTACCCAGAGCCACAGAACCGCCACCACAGACACCACCAGCCAGCAACCCACAACAGCCACTCACAATCCTGTGACCACCACCAGTCAAGGAAACGCCACAGTTCATCCAACAACAAGCAACAGTACTGCCACCAGCCCAGGATCCTCCACCAGCTCCCCCCACCCAGGACCACCTCCACCCTCTCCAAGTCCTAGCCCAGGCTCCAAGGGGGCTATAGGAGATTACATTTGGACTAATGGTTCCCAGCCCTGCGTCCGGCTCCAAGCCCAGATTCAGATTCGAGTTCTGTACCCAACCCTGAGTGGAGGAGAGGTAAAGCAAAAAGACTGGAAGACATGAGGGGAAGGGGGCGAGGCCTTCTGCTGTGGTTCGGAAGGGAAGAAGGAAGAATAGAGAAGGGTGGGCATGAAAGGAACAGGGAACCTTGGACGGCACAGCTGTCTAGTCTCGTGACCCTCTCATCTTTAACTTCCGCAGGCCTGGGGCATCTCTGTACTGAACCCCAACAAAACCAAGGCCCAGGGAGACTGTGAGGGTGCCCATCCCCGCTTGCTTCTCTCATTCCCCTACGGACAGCTCAGCTTTGGATTCAAGCAGGTACTTCACCTTCATCCCTCACTCTCACCCTCCAAGCACCCTATCCCTACCAATCCCTTGCTGCACTCCTTACTCTCTGTACACGGATGCCACTCTCCCCTGCTGCCCTGAGCCTTCCTGGTCACCTCTGCAGGAGCCACTGCAGAGCACTGTCTACCTGAACTATATGGCTGTGGAGTACAACGTGTCCTTCCCGCAGGCAGCGCGTGAGTAACCTTCCATTTCTCATCACTTGCTCTAGATGTCTGGGCTCCTGAAGGGATCTAAGTGGGGGTGGGGTAGGGACGTGGATATGGAGCTGACCCTTCCTCGCTCTCCTAGAGTGGACATTCTCGGTCCAGAATTCATCCCTTCGAGATCTCCAAACCCCCCTGGGCCAGAGATTCAGTTGCAGAAACGCGAGCATCATTCTTTCACCAGCTTTCCACCTTGACCTGCTCTCCCTGAAGCTACAAGCTGCTCAGCTGCCCCCCACAGGGGCCTTTGGGCCAAGTAAGACCTATTCCTTCCCTCCTAGAACTCTCTCACTGCACTGAAAGCCCCCTTCCCTAGTCTAGAATCTCCCTTCTTATACCCCAAAATCTCCTCCCTCTCTCACGCTGTTGTAACTATAGGGCACTGTCCTCTCCTCCATTACAAGACTGCCTATTCTCCCTTTTATTTACTGCTCTGAGTCACCTGGGTGAGCTCCTCACCAGTCTCCTACTTCCCAACATCCCCCACCTTCCTTCCTCCCTCCTCCCACCTTTATCCCAGCCACCACCACTGTGATGCCTACTTGCCCTATCTTTCTGCCAGGTTTCTCTTGTCCCAGTGACCAATCCATCTGGCTGCCTCTCATCATCGGCCTGATCCTCCTCGGCCTCCTCACCCTGGTGCTTGTTACCTTCTGCATTATCCGAAGACGCCCACCCACCTACCAGCCCCTCTGAGTATTCATCCCAACACCCAGGCACCAGGGGGTGCCCTCATTTCTCACTACTTCACCGACTCAGAGAGAAAATTATCTGCCTTCCCTCTCTGTCTTAAAGAACAAAAGTAGAGATAATGCAATCAGGAGAGATAAGGGGGGGGTGTTTATTAAATGTGACAGATTTCCCCCTCCCCCATCCCCAGAGGGAGAATAGTAAAACCTACTCAAATCTTTGTCCTTGATTTTCCTTGTCCTTCCTGCCAGGATTAAAAGCTATGAGTTTCTTGTCACATGCTTTTCTGTGCCTTCCATGATTGAGTCTCAGGGAGCCAGAAACAGCCGGTGAGGAGGGATGAAAATGCCAATGTGTGACCAAATGCCCCCATGGTTCATCTCCCAAAGCCTGGCACAACTGGTGTTGAATCTGCCTCCCCTCCGTTTCTCCTCTTCTGGGGCCCCTGGCTGCTCCAGATCCCCCTCCCCTCCAATCCAGTTGGAGCCACCCATCCCAGCCGTCTTCTTCTCAACCCTCATATACCATTACAGGTGAAACAAGGAGCAACAGCAATGAGTGAGTGGGGAAGTCACATCTCTATCATTTCATTTCCAAAGGCTGTGCCAGTGGCTCTTTACCACAAGAATGCCCTGCCCACGTGCCCAGGGCTAGCTGAACAGCCTGATTAAACCCTCACTGCATCTGGAATGCTCCTATCTCATCTGCAAAGGGTTTCATCAACCATGGGAGCAGTGGATACTCTGACCTTCACCTACAATCATCCTCGGCGCTCCTAGGAACACATGGCTCCAGCCTGGGCCACTGTCCAGCCAACCCTGATGTCCCCAGTGGTGGTGTACCTAGTGGTGGTCAGTGGCAGCCAGTGTCCAGATTCTAGAAAGAACCTCCCAGCCAGCCATAGCCTGTACCACCACTGAGTGCCAGTCCCCCCTTTATAGTAGGCCTTGGTGCAATCGCTGGGGGCCCGAATGGGGCCTTTCTGGTTGTAGGAGCCCTGTAAGGCTACAGAAAGCAGCCACCAGGACCTGGAGACCCACCCCACTGAGGGCAGCCCGCAAGTGGCAGGGCCCCAGCAGCCCCACTCCGCTTCGTGGACATCCCGTATGACCTCGCAGACAGTGGTGCGGGGGTCACTGAACAGCTGCTCGACAGCGTGGTACTCGCAGCAGGCAACTGGCCGCCATAGTGTGATGGCCAGGCCCCCCTCCACTGGGATGGCCGGGAGTTGGTGTCCCAGTGCCGGGTGGCTGAAGGCATCGCTCCCGCCGGGTAGTCCAAGGTGCGCTCTCCCAAGGGGAGGTGCTGGGTGGGCCATGCTTAATTAAGTCCTTGCTCAGCACGTGGTCACAGAAGGTGGAGGAGGAGCGGGCCTTGGCCCAGAGGTGGCACCCTCGGGGCAGTAAGGTGGGAGGGAACCCCGGAGTTCTGCGCTTCACGGAGGCTGCCAAGGCTGGGCCCTGCAGGGGGATGGGGAGGCTGCCCTCTCCCGGAATGGGGCTCGCCATCCCCACCTCCTCTTCTGCTTCACTGTCCCGGCCGGACAGTTGCTGGCACACACCTCCGACAAGGCCTGGGCGAACCAGAGGAAGGAGAAGCATGGGCCCTGCGCGCAGCCGGTGCCCATGGAGGGCTGCCTGGCGGAAACTGTCCTGCTCCCGCTGGCGCCGTTCCCTCTGAAGATGCTGGGAGAACAGGAGATAGGGAGCCACAGCGCCCCCATCCAACGCCATTTTGGAGACTCACGCTCCTTCTCTCTCAACTTCGAACAATGTCAAGTCAGCTGGGAAAAGACAAGATGGCGCCGAGCCGGAGAAGCGGAGAAAGGCAGGAGGATAAATCTTGCTTCCGAACTGGAAGCGTAAACAAAGGCACGAAAGATCGAAGTGCGCAGGCGTACAGCCTTGGCACACTTTAAATTCGAGCAGCAGGGAGAGCGCGCCCAAAGCGTGGTCTCTGGACGAGACCTATCTTACGCTACTGAAGACGGGGTGGCGTAAAAGGCGGAACGCAGGGGGCGGTCCCGCTGAGTCGCGGGAAGACGAGAGGAGAGGCGGGGCGGGGCGGGGTCCGGGGGGGCTCAGCGCGCATGCGCACCGGCAGTCGGAGCGTGGCGGTCTGGAGACTGGCGGAAGCTTTCCAGTATGGCGGCCGAGGCAGATGGGATGCTCAAACGGGTGCTGGTGCCGCTTCTTTTACCTGAGAAATGCTACGACCAAATTTTTGTCCAGTGGGACTTGCTTCACGGTGAGTTTTACTCGGCATCCGCGCAGAGTTCTGCTCGAGAGCCCTTAGGCCATAAGCGGGATATGACCGAGGATTAAGTGACGACGGGGACTGCTGCCACGCCGTGCTCGGCGGAAGTCATCTCTGAGAGGGGCGGGAGTGTCTTGGTTTCCATAGAGGGAGGACGCCATATTTGGGCGAGAGGGGGAGTTGCCGGGTGGAAATACTTGTTTGTGAAGTTTATGCTTTAGCGACAATGAAAGACAAAAAGACTCAAATTTTACAAAAAAAAGTTAAAAGCAGATCAAATCGTTCCAACCTATGCCTTCAGGAACAAAGTTACACTTGATTCAAAGTCTCTGATGAATCCAGGCTTTCAGCGGTACCCCCAAAGGCTCTTGCCATCTTGATGGCTTTCCTTCCAGCCTTCACATTTGCTCATAGTCTAATTTTGGAATATCTTGCTTTCCTTCCTCTTTCTATCTACGAGGCAACTCCACAGCAAAGCCCTCTTCAAACATCAGACCCTTTGGGAAGCCTTCCCAGGGTGCCCCTGTCGGTTCATGGTACCCCACTGGGCTCCTGGGACACTGTTTTAGCCGCATTCATGACCTGTGAGAATCTGACTCCCACTGGGCCAAGCTCCTTGGGGGGAGGGCTTGAAGGCTAGCGTGGATATGAGTGGCCAGGGCAGAAAAGCAAGCCCTAGAAGGATAGGGTTAAGACCCTGAGTAGGGGCCAGGGACAAAGGGTCCAGGAATGAGTGAGACCTGTCCTTGGGGAGAGAAAACAGGTGATGTGGATCACCTAGTTCTCAGTGGAGGCAAATAAAGAATCAGAGGGCTTTTGGGTATTGCTCAGCTTTATACAGGGAAGCAATAGAGAGCCTTGGAAGTCAGACCAAGCTGTTTAGATGTAATCTGCAGGGAACGTAAGATTGGATCAGAGGAAAGGTATGGTCAGAGCTGTTTTGGAAAGTCACCTGGTCTGAATGTGGTATGATTTGGAGCAGGAAGGACCAGACCTTTTTCATCTGCTTCCAGACAACCCATGGCTTCCTTGTGTGGGTATGTCAAGGTCTTAACGAGCAGCGGCCGTCCACAGGAGCGCTTAAGGTGTTTAGGCCTGGGCTGCTCCTGAAAAGCCCTGGCCTGGGTTCCGGAGTTCTCAGTTCTGCCTACCCTTTTTCTCTTCTCAGTCCCCTGCCTCAAGATTCTCCTCAGCAAAGTCCTGGGGCTGGGCGTTGTGGCTGGGTCACTTCTGGGTATGTATCTTATCTTCCTTTCCTGCTGTTGCGATGCGGGTCGAGTGTTAAGATGGCATAAACTGGGTGGGTTCCTTAACCAGAAGTGGGGTTAACATGCTTCCCAGTCTGCTGCGTAGTTGTTGTGTTGCACTCCCATGGAATGTCAGCTCCTCAACCCTGCCCTTCTCATTGTTTCTGCAGTAAAACTGCCTCAGGTGTTTAAAATCCTGGGAGCCAAGAGCGCAGAAGGGTTGAGTCTCCAGTCAGTAATGCTGGAGCTAGTGGCATTGACTGGGACCATGGTCTACAGCATCACCAACAACTTCCCCTTCAGGTGAGGGGCCTGCCCTTTATCTCCAAGGGTAAATGCTCACAACTCTAGTGGAGGTTAGGGTGAGGGAGGTAAAAGGGCAGGAAAGCTTAAGCTCTTCCGGAAATCTAGACATCTATGGAGGTGATGAGAGGAGGTGAGCATCCCAAGAATGCCAGGATCCAGACTGAGTCAGTCAGGTGAGGGCTGCTAGGAGGCAGGGGTAAGGAACCAGTAGGGCTGTGGAAGATAGGGAGTAATCAGAGAATTGTGTCCCCAGATGGACGGGCTATGGAGGCTTTCCTTGCCTCTTTCCAGGCCTGCCTTTCTTCCTCCCAACTCTTGACTCTGCAGCTCTTGGGGTGAAGCCCTGTTCCTGATGCTCCAGACCATCACCATCTGCTTCCTGATCCTGCATTACAGAGGACAGACTGTGAAAGGTGCTGGGGACTTACCCAAGAGCAGGCTGCAGCTCTTGGGAGCCCTGCTGGGAACTCAGGTCTGGGGAACCCAGAGGGCTTGAGAGGTTGATGAGGACTCCTTGCCTCCCCGACTCCCAGGTGTTGCTTTCCTGGCCTGCTACGCCCTGGTGCTGCTGGTGCTGCTTTCACCACTGACACCCCTAGCTGTAGTCACCCTACTGCAAGCCTCCAACGTGCCTGCTGTGGTGATGGGAAAGGTGGGTACTGGGAGCAGGGAGAAAGGATGTTAGGAGTGGGGCTGGGTGAGAGGCAGAGTAGAAGCCCAAAGTGTGGGGGGTGTTTTACTTAGAGAAAGGAATGGGGAAATCTGTGATGGGAACATGGGAAGAGTTCACATGACAGAACGAAGGATCTCAACTCCTCCCCTAGCTGCTCCAGGCAGCCACCAACTACCACAACGGGCACACAGGCCAGCTCTCAGCTGTCACAGTCTTTCTGCTCTTTGGGGGCTCCCTGGCCCGAATCTTCACCTCCATTCAGGTGAGTGCACCTTCTCCCCTCTAGAGGGCACTAAAATCTCACCTTACCTCTCCCAGCTGAGGACTTAAAGCTGCCCCCTTCTCTGGAACCTTTTTTTGGTTTTTGGAAGAGTGACCCTAGCTCTCTCTCTCACATCCAGGAAACGGGAGACCCCCTCATGGCTGGAACCTTTGTGGTCTCTACCCTCTTCAACGGCCTCATCGCTGCCCAGCTCCTCTATTACTGGAATGCAAAGGCTCCCCACAAGAAGAAAAAGGAGTAGGGCTGAGCTGGCTACCAGAGTCCATTCCCTCTTTCTATTCATCCACCCAACCTCAGGGTCCTTCCCATCTGAACCAGTGTGCTGGCGTGACTTTAATCATTCCCCATTCTTCTGCCAATTATAACTTCTTGGACCAGGGTTTGTTTTTTACGGAAATGCATAGTTGGTGGACCTGGATCCTTAGGAAGGATGGGGGTAGAGATTTTCAGGGTAATATTTTGATTTATTGTGGTTGTCCTGTGCATGTACTATTAATTCATCTAATTGCTTGGCTGAGATTCCTCCTTTAGCAGCCATTTCCAGCTACTTACCTATTCTGGGCAAAAGTCTTGCCCTGTTCTCCCATCTTCCCACTTCCCTTCTGGCGCAAAAGAACAGCCTGGACAGCGGAAGGGACTAGGGGCTTGTGGCTCCTCCCTCCCTCAGCCTGGCTGGGACTGTCTCCTGGACCCCAGTGCAGGGTGGGGGGTGGGGGGAAGGGGCACAGAGAATGACTCAGGCAGGGCCCCAGGGTGGGGTGGAGGTTCCTGCTCTGGCAGGTCCAGGCGGAAGGGAGTGGAGAGGGCGAGTGCACTGGTTCCTGCTGCAGCGAGGGGGAACCGAAATGGTGCAATAAAGACACAGAGACATGGTTTAATCGTACAAAACTGTGTTCGTCCTACAAAAAATATTAAGTGTTGTGTTGCTCCCCCTGGCATTCTTGGGGGCGACTGCAGGCCTCTGAACTGTGTGGTCCATCACAGTTCTAAAGAGGAGTTTGCAGCCTGAGAATGGGATGGGGGGTGGGTTCTGGGTAAAAAAGGAGGATGGAGCCCTTCCTGGGAGGTCCATGTCCATGAGGGTTAGAGGTGGGTTAGGGGCATGGGGGCCCCTGAAAGGGGAGGGTTGTATGGAGTGGGAGAGCCTGGGGGTAGGTAGGGGCTATAGTGGGGGAGCAGCTCCCCTTGGATCCTGGGGTTACTCTGAGGGAGCGAGCATGGTGAGAGGGCCTCTGGTTTACAGTGGGAAGAGCTGCAAAGAGACAAGAAAACACCGGAGTTAAGAGAGTGCTTCCCTGGGTTGGAGGTGCCAGGCAGAGTTCCTAACTCGTATGTGGGGGTGGGTCTGACCAGTTCTGGGCAGAGGTAGAACTTGTTACCCACCTAGCCCACCCCTGGCTGTCTGGGCCCCACTGGGTACCGCAGGTCCAGAAGCAGACCTCAGGATGGCTCGAGAGCAGCACAGCCGTGTTGGGGCACGTTCAAGAGCGGGCTTGCGTGCGGCGCCTGTTTTCCTCTTTTGGGGCGGCAGGCCAGGAAGGGGCAGAGTTGGGCTTAGCCTCTCCTTGCCCCAGGGGCTGGGAGAGGAAGCTGGGTCACACGAGGGCCAGAAGATGGGGGAAACGGGAAATTCAGGTAACTAGAATATGGCCACATCCAGGGGCCTGTGGTCTGCCACTGCCGTGCTGAGATGGAAAGGTCCTCTAGGAAAACCCCTCAGCCACCGAACTCCCACCGCATCTTGCACCGGGCACTGGGAGTGGTGCCCGCCAAACCTCAGCAGCGGTCCCCAACTCCTCCCTGGAGCAGCCTTTGCTTGGGTGGGCTCAGGGCCCCAGCCAGCGAAGCCGCTCTAGTATCCGCCCCCACCAGGCTCCAGGAAGGGGGGCAACAAGCGTCTCTTTCCTCACCCGCTCCCCAGACACTCACCTGTAACCGCCAGGCAGGTAGGCTGTCGAGTAGTTTGGGGGCTGGTACCCAAAGCCTCTGCTCCCTTGGATGGTCGTGTACCCGGGCCCCCAGGCTGGTCCGCCGCCAGCTACGCTGCTGCTTCCTTGTCCGAAATGGGGCGGCCCGGCGCCGGAGCTCTTGGTCTTGCGCCGAGGCCGGTACTTATAGTCGGGGTAGTCGCGCAAATGCCGCGCCCGGAGCCGCTTAGCCTCTTCCACGAAGGGCCGCTTCTCGTCCTCGCCCAGCAGCTTCCACTGCGCGCCCAGGCGCTTGGAGATCTCCGAATTGTGCATCTTCGGGTTCTGCTGCGCCATCTGGCGGCGCTGAGCGGAGCTCCACACCATGAACGCGTTCATGGGTCGCTTCACCTTCTCCAAGGGAACCCCTCCGGAGACCACTGGGCTCCCCGTTCTCTCCCGCTCCTGGGAACCCGAGGACGAGGAGGTCGGGGCCATGGGAGTGGGAGGTTCCAGGCTCCAGACCTGATCCTGTGAGGAGCTCGGTAGCGCCATGGGGGGGTTGGAGGAAGCCTTAGGAGGGTGTCCCACACGCTCTCCTCTCCAAAGTTAAACGTTTTTGATCCCCAAACCCGGTATCCTTAAAATGGAAGTGTCTCCCTGGTCTGGAGTCGTTCCAGAGAAACTCGTGTCCTTAAAAAGTATATATCTTCCCCAAGTTCAGAGTCCCTCTAATGGAGCCCTTGCTCTCAACCAATTCCGCAGGCTTTGGAGGGAGTGCAAAATCCCCTGTCTGGTACCCGGTACTGGACAGGTTGTGCTCTCCTTTTCTTGTTGCCTGGAGGTCCCTGACCCAGTCCTGCTCCCCCTACCCGCTCCTGGCCTCGGGCTGACCTTCGTTGGAGGCAGTAAACCTTCGCTCTGGGTCTCTGCAGTTCGGTAGCTGCCAGGCGGCACAGCCCAGGTGCCACAGCCCTCTCACCTGGCCTCAGTGTCTGTGGCTGATGGGTGGGCCAAACCGGGGAACAGCTTTTTAACGACTAACTCCTCCCCATTCCCTCCCAGCAGACCGCGCCTCCTTAAGGGCGCCAACATCCCCCTCCCTTAGGCAAACCCAGGTGTCCTGTTCTTCCCAGCCCCCAACACTCCTCCTCAGGGCACCACACCCCCTCCCCACCCAAGACCCAGATGTCAGGCCTTCCAGCCCCAGTAGCTCTGAACGTCTTCCCCTCCCTTCTTAAGCTTTGGCAATTTAAAGTCAATTCCTTTGCACAATGGGATCAAGCACAGGGGGATCAAAAGCCCTCAGGGTCAGAGTTGTGCTAGGAGGAACATGGGAACACCCCCACCCTTTTCTTGTGCCTAGTGCTCCTCAAACCCCTGACCTGCCCCTGGGGCAAGCAAGTCAGGCAGTCAGAGGGAGGTAGACCATTTTTGTTTCCTGAGTCATCCCAGCAGGTGCTTGGGTGGTGATTCAAACCCTCTCCAGGTGAGAAAACTTAAACCCTCCCAACTCTAGCCCCTAAACCTAGGTTTCTCCACCACTACTGAACCCTTGAATTACGGCACGTTTTCTCAGTCAGGAGGCAGGGAGCCAAGAACTCCAGAACAGCTCCGTGGGGCTGAAGGTCAGTGATGTGGATGCTGAAGAAAAAGCCTGGATCCAGAGCCAAGAACCATCAGGAATAAGGGCTGGACACATAGGTCCCAGAGGCTTTTGTGAGGGAACCCTGCTCCCCACTCTGCCCAAGGCCCAGCCCAAGCCCCAGGCCTCAGGTAATCGGATTAAGCAGCCTGCCTTGGCTCTCAGCTCTTAGCAGAACAGCTCCAGCTTGGAGTAGCCCTACCTAGCCTGCCCATGACTCAGGGTATAGGAGTGGCCTAGCTCCCTGTACCAGCGAAACTGGAGGAGGGGAGAAGCAGCAAGACAAGCCATTCTCCTCTGGACCAGGAGGGTACCGGGGCTTAGGGAATTTAGGAATATCAGGAATTCCCAGAAGTAGATCATCTTTGGAACACTAAAGAAGCCAGGTGTGGAGAAACAGGAAACAAAGGCCAGGGGCCAGGGCAGCTCAGTGCTCAAGAAACAGATGGACCAACCTGGGCACAAGGAATGCACAGGAACCAGAGCGCCATTTGGATTTTTTTATTCTCTTTTTAAATACTGTACAGTGAAAAATAAATACGCCTTCTCATCCACCAGACAAGGTTGGTCCCCCCTCCCCTGGGGGACCTTGTCACCCCCCTTCATACACACCCCTGGTTCTACTCCAAAACCTTCCCCATGCCTCCCACCCACTTATATCCTTACTATCCCCGTCTTCCACAGTGATGAGGCCCCAGAAATGGGGGGTACAGGATGGGAGGAGGGATAGCAGGGGAGCCCCCCTGAACTGTCAAATATGGGTGGGTCAAGGAGCACCCCGCACCAACAGGTGGAGAATGGGGGTGTTCAGAGAGAGATTGGGGCATTAGAGGATAAAGGCACATCCAGTCTGATGGGGAAGAAGAGAGGCTCCCCTCACCCTGGGGGTAGGGTGGACAAGAGGGAGGGGGGTATGACCCTGTTACACACCCCTCCACTAGCTCCTGGAGGTTGGGGGGGGACCCAAGCTGCTGTGCCACCCCCCTCCCCCCTAGATAAGAGCAGCTCCAGCGCAGGTCAGTCGGGCCTGTGAGGGCCATGGTGTTGGGCAGCAAGCGAGACGGAGAAGGGAGGGATGCAGGCTGGGGGTTTTATGAAACCCCATTCACCAAACTACCCAACTCCAGGGGGGCAGAGAGCTCCCCATTCTCTGAGGGGCCCTTAGGAAGCTTGCTGACAGAGTCACCCTGAGGGGAAAGTGGGAAAGAAAACGAAGAGGAAGGAAAGAAAGCAGTCAGTAGAAATTCAGGTAATGACATTCCCTACCATCCAAGCCCTCTTCACATCTGGTGACCCAAGGGTTGGTCCCCTGATCTCTCTTAGTCACTCTGGGATCCAGAAAATATAAACCAAACTTTCCTCCCTTTTCTATTCAAACTTTTCACTATTCTAAATGCAGTCTAAACTCCATCAGACATAGCCTTCTCTGCAATTTAGTAAGAGATTTCTTTGGGAGTTTTCTTGTGCCCCCTACCCCAGAACAAAAAAGCAGGTGGAGTAAACTACATCTCGCCTGCCTACCTTCTGTCCCGAAAGAGAGTCCTCTGAGGGTTTAGTGCGTTCCAGAGGTGGCCGCTGGCGGCTCTGAGACTCTGCTCGGGAGATATAGTCAGCCACAGTCACTGGGGAAGGCAGAGGATCAAGAGTTTCAGAAGGATCCCAGGTGTCCAGCCCCTAGAAACCCACTGAACCCCAATCCCTGGTTTTCACAGGGTAGGTGGCATCCATTCGCTCAGCTCTCAGGAAGGATGCTGGCATCCAGTGTTAGCTGACCTGGCTGACGGTCTCCACTGATAGAACCATCAGTCCGGTTACCACGGTTACGACGGCGGCGGCTCCGATTACGACGCTGGGGTCTTGACTCATCTTCTGTGGGGCAGGGAAAAAGGAGAGTTGTGCATCAAATCTCCCAACCCTCTAATTCTTTGCCCAGCTCTAACTTTTTAGACCCCAGGCACACCCCTTACCCAGGCCATTCTCTGTCAGGCTTGGCCCATCAGATTCCAGGCCTCCATCCATGACAGTCCTGTCTTCGTCAGTGCGGCGGCGACGAGAGCGGCGGCGCCTGGCACTTGCTGGGGGCGGTTCCCCAGGCTCTGAATCAACTGGGGGCTCTGGTTCAGATGTGTCCAGTAGGCTGTAAGGATTACTGTCCGGATCCTTCAGCACTAGTTAGAGAAGAGGAGTTGGGAGTCAGGTGTCCGTCATGTTTCCTTTTGGCCCACATTCATGAGCCCAGCTGTCTGGTATTGGTACCTGAGCTAATAGATGAAGAGTTGTATCTTGAGGTGGGCCGGGGAGCAGGTGGGGGTCCCCTACCCCGGCCCCCCGTTGGCCGCCTCCGGCTTTCTTCCACCCGGGATGGGGGGTCCCGGTCGCCAGGACCAGCTCGGTTGGGCTCCTCCCTCTTCTCTGACTCAGTCTCAGAAGCTGTGGATGGGTCTGAGCTGGGGCCTGAGAAACACAATGGAGTTCAATCAGGGTCACTCACCCCACCCCAGGATCCATCACAGCCCCCAAACTGAAGACTTCCTCTTCTCACTCACAAGTCCCCCAACCATCACCTCTTCATCATCTCTATCACCCTTTCGTCAAGCTTCTACCCAGATCTCTGCCTCTCCCCACAAATCCCATCACTGCTCGCCTCCCTCTCCCATAGCTGTCTCACCATAGGCAGGACCGCCTGTCCTCCGGCCCCGGCCCCGGCCCCCATAGCTGCCCCCATAGGTTCGCGTGGTGTGGAGGGAGGAGGAGGAGCTCTCATCGGTGGTATATCCAGCCTTGTCATTGCCACCGCTGCCCCGCCCACTCCCAGGAGGGCGAAAGCCCAGCCCAATCTGCCGAAGCTGTTCATCAATTTGCAGCCTCTCCAAACGAAGTTGCTCCACCTCCTGATTGGGTAGAAGATGGAGGAAGATACAGATGGAGGAATAAGTATGAGATCAATGAACAGTCTCCTACTTGCATGCTTCTCCACCCTACATATCTAAATTCTCAGGAATGCAAGGAGAAGGAGGACATTGGCTAAAGAAGGAAAATTCTGAGATCCAACCCCCAGCCCCAAATTTCCACCCAGCGGTTCCTCTTCTACTCAGAGACAGACTGGGTACTACAACTCCTAACTTTATCCACCAGCAATCTTAGTCCCCTTGCTACACCCACATCTCTCCCAGGCTTCCAGCCTGGGTACCTGCAGGTAGGAGAGGTGATATTCCAGCAGAGCCTGAGCATTGCTGATATTCTCTCGGGTGCCAACAAATATGAAGGGAACCATTCCCTGGAGAGCAAAGGGAAGGAGAGATGGATCAGAAGGAGAGTCAAATGTAAGTATTAACCCCACCCTGTCTCCTAGGGAAGCCCACCCAATGGGATCTTTCTGGGCTCTACAACTACTGGGGGAAACAAAAGTTACTATGCTCTACCTCCTAGAAATCCCAGCCCCCAAAGAATGGCTTTGAGAACAATCCCACCTACTTCTGGAAACCAATCTCTAGGTGTAGTTGCCCCATACCTCCTCCCTGGGGTTCTTCTTGTCATTATCACCTTCTACTCGAACCCTCACCACACCAGATTTATCCACAATCTCCTGGATCACTTTCCCGTTCTTTCCAATCACTTTGCCTGAATGGGTAAAGGAGGAATTAGGCCTTTTTTTTTTTTAAGGAAAGAAAGAAGAGTAAAAACAGATAAGATAAGCAGTCTTTCAGCTTCTATACATGGATTCTGTTTAATTATTCTCCTGCTTCTACATTTCTGATGAGTTTTCACAGGACAAAATATTACAATGCCTAGATATTTGTTCTTCCATTTTTGTCACTCTTATTACAGACTGTTTTGCTCTGAAACTACAAGTCCATAGGGAGGTGCCAAGCCCAGAATCGCTTCAGAGAATCTCACATCTGGCCCTCAACTGTATTCTCTTTTATACATACACACCCCAACTCACCAACCAGGTTCCTGGGCACCTGCACGGAGTCCTCAGAAAACTCAAGGTAGCTTCGTGCCTGTCGGCATGCCTCAGGAGTCTAAGAAAAGAGTGGGGAGTCATTACTACAACAGAGGACCTGGATCTCAAACAATGATCTTCCTCACTTTTTGTGAGGAAGATCAGCCCTGAGCTAACATCCATGCTAATCCTCCTCTATTTGCTGAGGAAGACCGGCTCTGAGCTAACATCTATTGCCAATCCTCCTCCTTTTTTTTTTTCCCCCAAAGCCCCAGTAGATAGTTGTATGTCATAGTTGCACATCCTTCTAGTTGCTGTATGTGGGATGCGGCCTCAGCATGGCCGGAGAAGTGGTGCA